CTGGCAAGCTCCCCGTGGCGTATTCAATATGCCAGATACAGTAATGACAATGAGTCTCATTCCCCTGACCCTGAAAGAGCCTCTAATCATTGGGAAAAGATGAGTAAGAAAAGGCTACTAAAATCTCAGGTCTGGGATGAATGGAGGCATTACTGGCGCCGCTCTAGTAATTCGACGATTAATGGGATAACAGTGATGCAGTGATACAGTGATAATGAATCACAAATGAACAGCTCTTTAAACAAATCACATGCATATTTAAAACAGTATACTTACTAAAATCATTTGGAGTCCATGAATAAAAATGACAAATGCTCAATTTCTATAAGAAAATGACTCTTCTCTGGATTGATGGTGAATATATAAACCAGAAAGCCAGTTTATTATTAGAAAGACAAACTCATAATGCTAATCAATGACACTTTACTAAAGTTATCACTAAAGTCATAGTCTAGGGAATTTCATTTAGCAGTTAATTTTTACCAATGGTTGCTCCTACAAGCAGAGAATTAACAAAAAAGAAAAGTTTTGCATAATGTCTTGAGCAAATTCAAAATTACTGCCAATGCTTCTTGAACTATAACTATATATCATATAAAACCTTATCAAATGAGAATTTCTCACTTGCACTTCATTTTCTTCCCAAGCTCAAGTAACTTTAAAAGATGTTTGTCAAAATATTAAAAATCACATAGCATAGCAATGTGCTTTTGATTTAGTCAAAGTTAAACATGAGGTAAAAATGTGGTTCTCTGAAAACAGAGGATCTCCTGAGACCTTAAGCTACCCACTTCAAAATCTACTACATAAAAATTGCTACATTTTGCAGCAACTAAACTATAGTTAAAAATGTACTGTTCTAACCTCATCCTGTCATACAGATTACAAGGCAGATAAAATGAAAATGAGGTATTTAAATCTATTCTCTACTTGCCTCTAGAGAAACTGACCTTGTTTCGGCTACAACATATCTATTTTTAAAAATCCATTCCGAAAGGAAAAGAAGAATAGTAGAGGACTGAGGTTAAGAGGAAGAGCACATCGGAAAGGGATATCTAGGGCTGATTAGATACAATTTTCTAGCAAAGATGTAGATAACTCTTAGAATTGATGGACATTCTACTTTGTCCCTTAAAAAGGAGCACCTTTGAGAATAATAAATCATTCTCTGAAGAGCTAATGAACAGTAACGGCTTCAGGTTCTCTCTAAACATTTCTGTAAATGATTCAGTAAAAATGGATTCTTAGATCAAAAGTAACAAAGGGTTAGGAGGAATGATCATAGCATCAAATAATAATTCCTTGGGGTCAAAGAATACTACAACTACAGTGAGTACATTCCCCCGCATCCCACATGGTCCCCTGAGCACAGTCAGTAATTTCTGAGTGCAGAGCCAGCAGTAAACCCTGAGTATCAACAGGTAAGACCCCAAAACAAAACAATTCCAGAAAGGGAAATTGAAATTGTGGCCCAAGAAATCAGTTTAGGTTATTTCGACAGTTAAGGATGGGGCTACAATATATCACTGAAGAAACTACTTAAGTGAATCTTAGCTCAAAAAAATTCAAAACTGGGCCAAGGAGGTGGTCCAAAGACAGGGTAATGTATTGCCTGCAGGCGGCTCGTGTTTGATCCCAAGCATTAACAAAAGAAACCATAAAGTATTGTCCCAAAATGAAAAGAAACCTGCAAAACCAACCGCCATGGAAGACTCCCTTTTCTCAAGGCTAAAGAGGGCAAGTTATGAGATATATCCTGTTTTTGCAAATGAACCATCTACATTAAATAGATGTCTCTCTAGAAATTTGGGCTGGAGCGATACCACAGCGGTAGGGTGTTTGCCTTGCATGAGGCCACCCGGACAACCCAGGTTTGAATCCTCCGCCTCTCTCAGAGAGCCCAGCAAGCAACCGAGAGTATCTCACCCACACGACAAAGCCTGGCAAGCTACCCATGACGTATTCGATATGCCAAACACAGTAACAGCAAGTCTCACAATGGAGACATTACTGGTCCCACTCAAGCAAATCGATGGAACAATGGGAGGACAGTGCTACAGATCTATAAATTCCATTATTTATACACAGATGGCTGAACTTACTCAAATATCATTGTTTAATGTCTATGTGTTTATTTATAATGAGAATAATTTGCTTTCATAACTCATTATGAAATAGTATAGATATAGTATATAAAACCTTTGTAGAAAGGAACAGAAGTCTACTTATTTAAATTCTGTAACTAACAGTATTCGAAATAGTCAATGGTTAATGAAAGTCAATTACTATCAGCAAAAGAACAGAGTAAACTAGTTTCCTTCATTTAAGTTCAAGTAATGTCTAAAACTCTTGAGACATAAATTTAAGAAAAGACTGAAAGACACAAAACAGGATGTCCAACAACTGTAAACCAAATCAAAAAGTCTGACATGTATAAAACTAAAATCTCGAAGTGAAATAGAAAAAAAATGAAGGGGGAAAAATGCTATGGTGAGATAATGGTTAAAATACTTACAAGTAAAAACAACAAATTATCAATTCAAGAAATTAGAAAAATTTCAGAGCTCAGAGAAAATCTATCTTATACATAATGCTTCATTCTTCAAGGAAACATTTAATGTTCTCACTTTTTAAATTCAATCTGGCAATCTCTTCCTACTATTCAAAATATTTGACTTGTGCTATCCAAAATGGTAGTACTTAGCCATAAGCTATTGAAATTAAATTAAATTGGACTGTATAAAACTCTAAATTCAATCCTTCAACTGCCCTTGGCATATTTAAATATTCATTGCAACAGGTGGCTACTATATTAGCACAGACACAGAGTATTTCCGTTATTTTGAAAAGCTAGTTCTGCTTTAGAACACTGAAATTTAATGTAACTACCAATATATTTAAGATTAAATCCATCACTATGCTATTTGTTTCCTAGTTGTCCCACTTCTTTTTTTGCCTTCCTCTTTTCTTGCTTCTTATCATTCACAAAGTATCTTTAGAATGTAACTATTTTCTCTGCCATTGCCTTACTATCTCTCTTTATTTCATATTTTTAGCAACTGTTCTAATGTTTAAATATATCAAATATATTTAACTCATCAGTCTATCTCAAGATACTATTCACCGCTTCACATTTATTTAATTTGAGAGCTTTTCCTTCTTCATACCCTCTGTACTAAAATGTGTCATGTATTTCAAACGTGCACTGCCATTATGTATAGCCTGTTCTATAACCATTCTTTTTTGTTTTATTTTTGTGTTGGAGCAACACCCAGCGATGCTCAGTGTTTAGTTATGGCTCTGCCCTCAAGGTTCACTCTTAGCTTGGCTCGAGGAACCATATGGGATGCTGGGGATCAAACCCAAGTCAGCCACGCGCAAGGCAAGCACCCCACCTACTAGATGGGACAATGTTCAAGCCCTGTCCAAATGTAAAGATAAAGGTAAAGGCCCTCCCGTTGATCGTCGATTTGCTCGAGCGGGCCCAGTAACGTCTCCATTGGAGACTTTGTTGTTACTGTGTCTGGCATATCGAATACTCTCGGTAGCTTGCCGGGCAATCCGAGAGGGGCGGAGGAATCGAACTCGGGTCGGCCATGTTGGCCGCTTGTAAGGCGAACGCCCTATCCGCTGTGCTATCGCTCCGTCCAAATGTAATTTTTATAATATTAGAGATTTTAAAGAATATTTTAGAATGTCGGTTCTTGCTATCCTAGTAAAACATAAGAAATAAATGGTTCTCTTCTTGTTTGTCAGAAGGGTTGCGGGGGAGGGGCAGTTTCTGACCCCCGTGGTGTTCAGGGTTTACTCCTGGCTCAACGCTCAGGGATCACTTCTGGTAGTACTCAGGAGACCATATGTGGTCCTGGGGATTAAACTGCAGTGAGCCACATATGCAAAGCAAGCACCAGAATCCCTGTACAATCTCTATGGTCCCCTTCCAATTTTGGGGGGTTTCCAGGGGGTTATTTATTTTGGTTTCCACACCTGGTGGTGCTCACGGCTTACTCATGGCTTTGCACTCAGTACTCCTGGTAGGGCTCTGGGAACCATACAGGTTGCCAGAGATTGAACCCAGTGGATCACATGCGAGCCAAGTGACTTTCTCGATGCATTATTGTTCTGGCCCCTCAACTCTAACTTTTTATATCACACAACCCTGTATCACCTTCTCAAGATTTGGTTTTAGCATTCAAGTCAATTTCTTGATTAATTTATTATTTCAGACTTAAAAGAGGTTTTAGGTTTTTCAACATTTTATAGTAATTTAACCTTTGAGCTTCCATGTTCAAATTTAATACAATCTGCATCCTATCTAAGATTTTGTTTTATAAACTGCTTGGGGATTTTGTTATATCTACATAATTTTTTTTTGCTATTGAGTCTTTTTTTTAAATTACTTCTAACTACTCAGTCTTATTGTATTCATTTTTTACGCTATTTTTTTTGTTTTGTTAAGAAAAATTTTGGGGTTAGGTTGATAAGCCAAAGGAAGATATAATTTGCAATACCCAGTGAGTTTATCCCTGTAGTTTTTGACTATACAAGTATCCACTCACTCACCTAAGGCTGATCATTAGCATCTCCATCACACAAAAAAGCCACAATCAGAAATTTACTTCTAAAATTGGATATTTGTATATATGGCTACTGAGATAATAGGCCAATTGTACTTTTTGAAAAAAATAATTTTCCAACTCCTTTCTCAAGTAAGCCTAATTTCTAAAAATAATAATAATATGCAGTGCACTGAAAATGAGCAACTACTTCAGTACATTTGCCAAGGGCAGCCTTTAAAGTAGAAAATGCAATCTCAATCTCAAAAGGGCTAATAAGACTAGAGAAAAACTATTATTAACTTAATTATATTAAGCATCATTTATTTCTGAAAGTAACATTCTATAAACTCAACAGCTAAGAATACTAAAAGATGCAAGCTAAAACCAGTAACAACAAAAATCTAAATGGTTCATCAGTGAAAAGTTCTTCTAGGCACTTACCCAAGTCTTCCCAGCATCTCAAGCTCTGGAACTTGTGGTCCACAGGTCTCTATTTTCAATGGTTGATATTCATACAAAGCTTCTTCAAGCTTTTGTATAGGTGCTAATGAAATATGCTGGCCCTGTTTAAAAAAAAATGAAGAAAATCAATACCATTTAATATTTTCATATTACTATTATCTATAAATTACTATCATTTATAGTCATTTTACATATGGATAAACATCTTACATTGAAAATAGTGTATAAGATCTCAGGGGATGGCTCATTGGCAAGAGTGCCTGCTTTGTAAAGCATGAGGCTTTGAGTTTGATCCTAGTGCTTCCCACATGTTCCAAGCATAGTGCTGGCAGCTCTGCTGTCTGGAACACTCAGTATTGCAACACTGTACAATCTGCAGGGCACCACAGTAACTGAGTGCAAAAAATCATAACTGAAAATGCATGAGCACTCTGTGAACAACATAAGAACCTCTCAGAAAGCATTTATCCGTTAATCCTAGATAAATTTTGGATGAATAAAAATTAAAACTAAATAATCCCCTCATTAGGTTGGCCAGTAATGTCCAGGAGAGGCCCAACAGTTCCTGAGCACTTTGGAAGGTCCCTTCCAAAAACGGATATCTATATACAATGGGTTAATTTTATGTTAGTAACCCAGCAGACAGAATTAATAGGTGACCAAGTCTATCATAGTTGATAATAAGCATTTCATTTTTTCATTTTTCATTTCATCATCCTGTTAATCGTCGATTGCCTCGAGCAGGCCCCAGTAACATCTCTTTCATCCTAGCCCTGAGATTATATTCACGGCTCTTTAGGAGAATGAGACCCATCATTGTTACTGGTATTTGGCATATTTGGTGCGCCACGGGGAGTTTGCCAGACTCTGCCCTGTGGGCAGGCTACATTCGATAGCCTGCAAGTTTGTCCAAAGTAGGAATGAGATAATAAGATAAGCATAAAAAAGTTAAATGTTGGGGCAGGAGAAATAACCCAAGGTTGAGTGCACATGCTTTGTATGAGTGGGATACAGGTTTAATCCCCAGCCTCCCACTCCCCAACTGCCTCTGGGAATAATCCTAGAGTACTATACCAAGAGCAGCCCTTGAGCATTTCCAGGTGTGTCCCCAAAATTAAATAAACACATGAAAAGATGTTCAACATCAAAAAATCCTTAGAAAAATAAAAATTAAATGCTAATCAAAAATATTTCTTCGTACCCACTAAAATGATTAATCACAAAAACACTTTTTTTTAATGGGAGTGAGGGATTCCTGGGGCTACAGCCAGTTGTGCTCAGGTCTTATTCCTGGCTTTGCAGTCAGCGATCACTCTAGTCTGCGCTCAGAGAAAGTCTAGTGCCAGGACTGACATAGGATTAGCCACATGCAAGACAAATACACTAACCCCTCTATAGTTCTCACAAAGAAAATTCTTTAAAACACAGAATAGTTAAATTGTTGTTAATGAGAGTGCTCAATGATATAATTACCTTGAGAATTATGTTTGCAACTTTTCTTTAAGTTACAGATATAATTATATTAGTAGTTCCACTCACACATACCTACCCAAGAGATATTAAAACACATGACCACAGTACTTAATTTTTTGTGTGATGTTGAAGATTGGACCAGGACCTTATACATACAAGTGTTTCTTCCAATAAACTACATCCCCAATCCTTATACATACACAAGAATGTTCAAAGTAAACTTATTCATAGTAGCCAGATAATGCTTGGAATCTGAAAGTACATCAACTGGACGGATATACGAGGTACATTCATACAACATAAAAATGAATTCATTCACTATATTTAAATTAGGTTAAATATGTCATAAAAAAGAATATGATACATGATACTATATGATTATCAAAAAAAAAATTTTTTTTGCTTTTTGGGTCACACCCGGCGATGCACAGGGGTTACTCCTGGCTTTTTTACTCAGAAACTACTCCTAGCCGTGCTCGGGGGACCATATGGGATGCTGGGAATCGAACCCAGGTCAGGCTGCGTGCAAGGCAAACACCCTACCTGCTGTGCTATCACTCCAGCCCAAAATTGTTAAGCTAACATTTAAAAGAATGGTAAATGACTGCATACTACATGATTCTACTTATATGAAATATCAAAAAAAATGCAGAATAAAAGAATGAAAGTAGTAATGAATGCTAGAGGATAGGAATGTAAATGGGGAGTGCCTGCAAATGAGTATAAAGAAAACAGAAATGAGTATTTTAAATAAGTAACGCTATCAATGGGGCCAAAGCAATAATCACAATGGGTAGGGTGTTTGCCTTGCACATGGCTGACTTGGGTTCAATCCCTGGCATCCCATGTGGTTCCACAAGAACCTCCAGGAGTAATTCCTGGCATCCTTGGGCGTGACCCCAAAATCCAAAAATAATAACAATAAAATTACAAGTCAATGCAATTCTTTTCAAAACATTTCAGACAGTGGTTCAAATCAATTTAACAGTGCTGATTATAAAATACCTAAATTGACATTTTCTGTAAAGACAGTTGAATTTTGCTATCATCAAAATGGCAAATGAAGTCATGAAAATAAGATTTTAGAGAGAAAATGCATTATACATAAGATCCTACTACCAAGTTTTGAAAACACTGATATTCATTAGAGTAGTTTTTACTATCTTTGAACAGAAAACAAAAGAGTAAGCCCCTTTCTGCTATTGTCATTATAAACAGTAAACAAGGACATGAAGATTAAATTTATAGTGAGAAATCCACCACATTTCAGGCAACTGGTTAGTACCATAATCAGGGTAGAATAAATATAGCCAAACTTCACATTCAATAATATAATTAATGCTTTACTCATCTATAATGTAAGAAGATTGAGTCCTTATTTCTCTTCCAAGGGAGGGAGAGGAAAAGGGAGGGAGGAAGAAAGAGAAACAGGGAAGAGAGCGAAATATTTGTAGCAGTTGTTTCATAAACTCAGTTCTCTCACATTTTCAATAATGTGCTATAATGCTAAAGGACACTGGAATACAGGTCACTAAACTCGACAATGGTCAATCAGTTTCAGAAAAAATATCTAAGATAGCTTTTAAGAAATAAATTTCTGTTTCTGTACTAGTAAGTGCTCTCATAATTTTAAATATATCTGGCCAAGCATATGTTCATATGTTTATATTAGTGTGTATACAAACAGACATGTATTTCCATTTGTTCAAATGTACATATTTATTTGTACAGGGATTTTTTATAAATTTTGTGTATACTCATATATTATTCTTTAATGGGTTACATAGACTTTTTTAAAGAATGTACCCGGCCTTCAAGCTATTCATTCTTAGTAACATTTTCGTGATTCAGCTGCTTTTAATTAATTTCATAGCAAACAGAACAATTCTTTTATATGGTGCCTTCTGGTACTCTAGATTGATATCAATCGGTCATAGCTGCAACAGTTACAGAATAATGACTTCAGTTGTGTATAATTTCATGGTTAAGGACAATTAATTTTACACCATAAAAATAGTTTTCTCAAATTTCTTTCAAAATGTATGGTAAACTTCATAAGACAAATGAAAAATCAAGATGCTGCATGGCAAGAGTAAACTAAAAAGTAATGGTGGTACTGTCCCTAAACTGAACTGAAGTGACATGATTTTTCTAAACTTCATTTTTATTACCTACTAAGTGGAATGAAGAGCAAACTAGAGACCTTTCAGAAGCCTGAGAGATAGCAAAAGGACTGAGCACATGTGCTTGGCATGTGGGAGAGCAGGATTTAATCCCCAGCACCACAAGAAGCAACCCCTCACCACCTCCAATGCAGCTGTGTTTGACCCTAAAACAACAAAAAAACTCTTAAAAAAAATACATATATATATATAAGGTAAAGGTAAAGGTAAAGGTAAAGGCCCTCCCGTTGTTCGTCGATTTGCTCGAGCGGGCCCAGTAACGTCTCCATTGGAGACTGTTGTAACTGTGTCTGGCATATCGAATACGTCACGGGGAGCTTGCCAGGCTCTGCCGTGCGGCAAGATACTCTTGGTAGCTTGCTGGGCTCTCCGAGAGGGGCGGAGGAATCGAACTCGGGTCGGCCATGTTGGCTGCGTGCAAGGCAAACGCCCTACCGCTGTGCTATCGAAGATGTATGTAATTGGAATCTTTGGCCTTCTAGTGCTGACTTAATCCTACAAATCTGTCTTTAAGAGCACAAATGTCTTCAAAAAAAAAAAAAAACCAATAGCATCCAGCGTTGGCATCAATGCAGAAAGGTACTGCTGCCCTACTGAGGTCACGAGTTGCCCCCCCATGAGCGGCTCTCTGGCACGGCCATAGCTCCAGAAGCACAAGGACTTAATGCAGAGCCTGGCAGCCTGTGGCAGAAAAGTGAATGGACTATGCGTTAATCCACAGTACCATGCCTGCCCAGGAGGGAAGGGGTATCACTCCCTTCGCCTTTTTCCCCCTGGGCAGCAGGATGGCGGCTGCCTCGGAGCATTTTGGAAAGCCGGGTATGAGCCGGCAGTGACGGGGCAACTGAAACCTCATGGGAAGGGGGGCATTCCCAGCTCATCCCTCACATCCTACCGAGATCACGAGTTGCCCCCCACAAGCGGCTTTCCAGCACGGCCATGGCTCCAGAGCCACAGAAACCAATCTCGTAATTATCTGGCTCTTGGCAGAAATACCTCCAGACTTAAAAAGTAAAATATCAGAAATTCAAAATTGTGCGCGACCGCTATTCTCATAACTAACTGCAGAAAACAAATTATTTCACAATGCCTTTTCAGCAGTTCTGATTATTGGGTGTAAACTCTAAACAATAATGGTGCATCTTTTGTCGAAATAATGAATGTAATCAAAGTAGATAGAGTGTTAAGTAGAATTAATTCATATGCCTCACAGGCACTGGGAGGGGTACTGGTGAAGGGAAATGTGTTTGATCATTGTGTGACCGAGACTTAAACCTGAAAGCTTTGTAAATTTTCCCACAGTGATTCAATAAATAAATATTTTTTAAAAAAAAAAGGTACTGCTGATGGAAATGCTGACTGGTCTCTAGCCTTTTTTGGAAAACAATATGGACATTCCTCAAAAAACTAGAAACTGAGCTTCCCAGGAATACCACCACCTAGCA